TTTATATGTCTGTATGTCATTTATATCACACTCCGGATTATAATTGGGGATTAAATAGACGCCGTGGGATTTAAATATTAATTTGCATGCCGACAAGGATTGAGGAGGATTTAAATGCTAGTCTTCGTTTTAATAATGTAAATGAACTATTATGGATGTATTGGTTGGGAATTCTAGTATAATGTGCAGTTTATAGTTCTAATATTCATTATATTATGTTATGGATGATAATTGCTGAACTGTCATAATTTCTGTGCTGTCAATTATATGGAAATGGATGGCTTAAATTGTTTATTAGTACTTTAACAATTTAAAAGGAGGATCTATGATTATAATCATATACTGGATGCATAATAGGATCTTGTCTACATTTGATTACTATTATGTTTGTTTCTGGATATATTTGATGTTCATTTGAATGTGCATCATCTGTAGATCATATGCATATATGTACTTGTATGGGACGGTAATATACGGAGGGACGGATTAGATCAAAACGCTAATTCCAACCCAATCATACATACGGAATGGATTAATTAAAATAGTTAACTCCTACATGGATGCATGTCTTGTCAACTAAGACAGTTGAATGACATAATGGATGGTTGTTTTATTTTTCAATCTTAGGAAGGAATTTATATATATATTTATGGTACCGTGGTATGAGCTTGAGTCTCCTGATCATGGTTAGGGTGCGTATATCGCCTATTATGGATAACTGGACATTGGTGTTGTTCCCTGGTAGGTCTAGGTACACATGACCACATTATATGTGATTTGCATGGTATCTCTACTCAGGCTAAGACAGACCTACTGGACTAGCGAACATCCTATAGTGTGTACTTATATCTATATGGACTACTTTAGCTATTTTTGAGCTATTTAGGATGTATCTGTGTATCGGGTTTATGTACGGATTGTAGTAGATTGGAACTTGCATGTGGGCCTGAGCCACTCTTATTTTTCAGGTGTTCGTCAGTACCAGGCTTAGAGCTTGATCGTGTTGATGCAGATACAGACACTCACTCTTCCGCTTACATAAGACTTCCTTTCTATTTTTGGTTTTGGATTTTAATTTTGTAAACGTTTTATCTGTTGGAATTATTAGGAGTCTATTAAATGGATTCCCGAGTTGTATGGATTTAAAGGATTTAAATTATATTAATTTATTATTTAAAGTTTGAGGATTTTTATTTTAGATTTCTTTCAGCGTATTATTAATTTATTGTTAATTCAGTTTTTATTCTTGCTTGTTTACATATTGACAGTTGGTATCTCTCGGATCTGTGCTCGGACTTGATTACCCGTGGCTCCAGAATCGAGGAGTATAACACGACATCACTCTACAAGCAACATGCCTATCTCTCAAATGGATCTTAAGATGGAACTACAGTATGCAAACCTGGTAATATTTGATTATTATCTTGAAAAATTGTTCTTTATTTATTTATTTTGTATTTCATTTTTTCTTGGAGATTTAGATGCAATCTCATATAAGAGATTAATTCTTTTTTTGAATCTGGAATTCATTTTACTACTTGAGTATATTGAATTTTTCGCAAAGAAGAAAAAAACAATCGCAGATGCTCTGGTTCTTGGCTGCCTTCTATGGATAATTCTCTAGTCGTAGATCTTAGTAAAAATATGTTCTCTGAATCTATGACACATCTCTGTTTTTTTAGTTGAATCTGATACATGTTGTGACACATCTTGTTATGCACAGTTAGGAAGCAAATTTGGAGGGTGTATATAAACGAGCCCAAGCCCGAGCACCTCTCCAAAGTTAACGAATCGAGCCCGAGCAACCCAAAGCTCAACTCGGCTCTGTTCGTTTATAGCCTTAAAGGTAGTAGAGGTGGTGATGGTTGTGGTGGTGGAAGGTGGTGGAAGGCGATGATGGTAGTGGTGGTGGTGGTGGAAGGCAATGGCGGCGGTGGAGGTGGGATGTGGTGGCGATGGTGGAAGGCGATAGAGGTGGTAGTGGTGAAAGGCGTTGACGAAGGAGATAGCGGTGTCGATGGTGGTGGTGAAATACGATGGAGTTGGTGGAAGGGGGTGGAAGGTGGCAGTGGCGGCGGCGGCGGCGGCAGTGGTGGTGGTGGTGATGGTGATGAAGGTGGTGGCAGTTGAAGGCGTAATGATGGTGAAAGGCGGCGTCAGTGGTGGAAGGTAGCGGTGGTGAAAGACGGTGATGGCGGTGGTCGTGAAAGGCGATGGCAGTGGTGGTGGATGGTGGCGGTGGTGAAAGGCGATGATAGTGGTTATGGTGGAGGTGGCGGTGGTGATGGTGGAATGTGGTGTGCGGTGGTGAAAGTCGGTGGTGGTGGTGGTGGTGGTGGTGGAATGCGATAGTAGTGGTGGAAGTCAGTGGTGATGGTGAAAGGCGGAGGTGATAGTGGTGGTTTTTGAACTGGAAGCATGAGAGTTTTTTTGGAAAGTTGATTTTTTAAAAAATTTACTTGAGAATGGAATTTTCTTTCCTTAGGTTTAGTTGTGGAATGAATTTTTATTTACATGAATGGATTTTTATAACAATGAAATGGTCATTCCCACTTTAAATTGCATACCAAACAAATGAGTGGTTGAAATGTACATTCTATTTCATTTCATTTCTGCACAGCAAACATAGCATAAGAGTAATACTACCAGATTAATTAGAATGCTAAGGAAAAAAGAATGCTACCACGATTGAATTCATTTTTTGGCTAGTCTGAGTAAAAATGTCAAGGACTTTTACACTCCTAAGTGCTTAGTTCAAATTTGTCACCTAAGTGATTGTTTATATAGAAAACTTCCTTGCTCCCCCAGCTCACTCCATCTACTCACATTCCTTAAGAAAGTTAGTATACGTATAAATGGCAATAATTGAGTAATGATTTTTTCATTTTTAAATTTTTTATTTTTTTAATGAATATAACCCTTAACGTTTGTAGGTGTCCAAAATATGTTAGCCCACATGGACCACATAACTTGGTCAAATAGTCAAAGAATTCTGCCACATCATCAACAATGACCACATAGCTTGGTTAAATAGTCAACAGACTACGCCACATTAGCAACGATGGCTCACAAATCAAACGGTCAACGGTCAAAGATACGTGCCATTTACCACATTATTAGTATACCTCGAATAAAAGATCGAAGACTAGAAGACCTGAGTTGGGAGCAGGACTCAGGATTATTTGGGATCCGACGAGGTTCTTGGTTTGGTGGATGAAGTTCAGGGCTCGTTGAATTAGCACTCGACCTGACTCGCAGAGAGAGATACCATTTTGACTCCCATACATTCTGGACCCATCTTAATTAACATTATTTTATAATGTTAATGGGCCCCACATATGATGTCATATGACATCACCCAAACTCTTACTTGGCCTATATGAGGAAGTGTTCCAAGACCAAGTAAAGGTAGAGCAACAAAGGAGGAGAAAAGAACCTTTATGCTTTCTCCATACACCTTCATCAAGGGAGTCAATGGTCTACTATTAGCCCCTTGACAGTTGTCCAAGGGAAGACATGGGCATTTCAAGGCCATGCCATGTCTTGGGAATACTTTGGCTTTGGTTAGATAGCCATGAGGATGCTCAGTGGGTTGTCAGCGAGCACAAGATGCTCAGCGTGCACACAAGATGCTTAAAAGGATGCTCGGCGTGCACTGGGGGTGCCCAGTGGCACTTTCGTAAATATGGCAAAAAGTAAAACTTGGAGTTTTGACTCGGGATCTTTATGGGAGGTACCTTGAGTCCATAGAAGCTGGTTGGCGTAGACGGCACTTAATTTGGATGTCGGGAAAGGCCTGAAAGGCCATTATGACTCCTCAAGCATGGGTGATGTCTACTCCTGTCAGAGTGCTGGGTTTCCTTAAGACTATACTAGGGAGGGGTCTGTTGAGCACATCGGCTGGGCTATGGCATGGCTTGCTTAGAGGGCTTAGCCAATGTGCATGGGCACGTGTTGCACCACTCCAAGATGGTTGCACAAGTGGGGAGCATCCAAGATATTCAAGGGCAAACAAGTGGGCACCGACATGTGCGCTGGTGAGCAGCGGCGCGCTTGCGGGCGTGTAGGTGGGCGTGCGGGTAGGCGTCCAACCTAGTGTGCGCGAGCGTCTAGCTCAGTGTGCGCATGGGCGTCCAGGCGGGCGTACAGCCACAGGCGCATGTGGGTTCAAACATGGCACGCGTAGAAGGGCACTAGTGTGTGCGCCGACGTGCACTTTGGCGTGCACCCGAGCGTGCGCACGGGTGTGCATGGCTTGGCACGTCGTGCACTCAGAGACATATATATGTGGGTGCAGATTGGTGGACTTGGCTTGGGCTAGGTTCATAAGGTTGACTCAGATGTGGCTAGAGCATGGATAACACAAAGTCATGGCTTGCGGTTACAAGAGGTGGTGGCTTAGTGGGTTCGGTCGGTTGGGGGAAGTTACTAGCACTTCCCACTCATCATGGGAAGTGGGGGAGTGCTGAGTAACCTCCTAAGCATGTGGCACAATTCTGAGAGGACCAACACACAGGCGGTTAAGGGTGGTTTCTTCCACTATGCAGAATGTAACTTCTTGTGGTTGTGTGGCATGAGTAGAACATGCCAACAAGTCTAGCAAGTGGGCTTGTCAACTGCATTATAGTGCTGGCACATCTAGATGGTACCAGCACGACTCTATGTGGATGGGGGTGTCATCCATCATCTTAGTGGGCAGTTATGGGCGGTTCTGAGAGTGGCCTATATAATGCTAAGGTGGGCTTTGTAGAGGGACAGAGAGGAGGGTGTGAGCCTTGGTTGTTCCTTGTATGAACTCATGTTCCTTTGTAATATGTTTAATATGAGCAAAGGTTGGGGCTTGTCCCTATAAACTGTGTGTGCCTTCTTTACATTTCTATATTATGTGTATTGTGTTGTTGTGTTGGCTGAGACTTGGTGGCCCCAAGTGCCATTATAGAGGCAAAAATTCATGGTGTAATTTAGCCCTGTAATAATTGGTATCAGAGCCCCGTTCTACGATGGCTGGAGGTAATACTCGTGAGAGAGTTTCCTGTTTGGAAGAGTTCATGGGTTTTCGTACAGAAATAGAGGTACAAGATAGTACAGAGAGCCTTGTTGTTTGAATTGAAAACTTGGCTTCTGAAGTGGAGATCTTGAAGACTGATCTTGATGGGTTTGGTGACTTCATGCAGGCCATCAAAGAGCAATTGACCCGTATCTCTGAAGATGTTGAGTCATTGACTGACGTCTTCAAGAAGATCCTGAAAGACCTTGAAGATGAAGTGTCCTTGGTGAAGAAGGCCATTCATGGGAGTTCCAGAGGTGGTGGTAATCCTCTTTCACAGAAGATTAAGGTGCCGGATCCCAAGTCTTTCAGTGGTACCCGAAATGCCAAAGAGTTGGAGAATTTCCTATGGGACATGGAGCAGTACTTCAAGACTGCTCGGATCCTCGATGGTGAGAAGGTGACCATTACAAGCATGTATCTGTCTGGTGATGCAAAACTATGGTGGCGCACACGGACAGAGGACGATGCTTCTGCGGGTAGGCCTCGGATTGAAGTTTGGGAGACCCTTAAGAAGGAATTGAAGGACCAGTTCTTACCTCAGAACACTGCATGGATTGCAAGGGAATCTTTGAAGAAATTGAAGCACACAGGTACCGTTCGTGACTATGTGAAGGACTTTAGTTCCTTAATGCTGGACTTTCGAAATATGTCAGAGGAGGACAAGCTGTTCAATTTCATGTCCGGATTGCAACCATGGGCTCAAGCAGAACTCCGTAGGCAAGGTGTGAGGGACCTTCCTACTACTATGACAGCGGCAGATTGTCTTGTAGATTTCAAGATGACTGGGTCTACTACACAAGACAAGAAGAAGTCTAAGGAGGGGAAGAAAGACAAAGGCCAGTCCTTCAGGTTCAAGGACAAGAATCAAAAGAAGGATAAAGGCGGTGGCTTTGTCAAGGCCAAGGCAGATTACAATAACAAAGGGAGTAGTAGTGGGACTAAGCCCAACTACGGTTGTTTCATCTGCAATGGTCCCCATCGTGTTAGGGACTGTCCCAAGAGGGAGAAACTGAGTGCTATTGTCGCTGATTCAAAAGGAGACTCAGACTCGGAATCTGGTCCAACTGGAGTTAATCCTCTGTAAATGCTGAATGCTCTTACTGAAGAATACTCCATGGAGTTGAAAGGGCTCATGTTCATTCAGGTGACGCTGAACGGCAAGGAAGTTTTGGCAATGGTGGACACGGGGGCCACTCATAACTTCATTGCGCAGAGGGAAGTAAGTAACTTTAATTTAAAGTTAATTCCACATGCTAATAAGATGAAAGCTGTGAATTCTGAAGCCAAGCCTGTCTTAGGCATGGCCACCACTTCTATGAAAGTTGGTTGTTGGGAGGGCATAGTTAGTCTTATGGCTGTACCCTTAGATGATTTTGATCTAATTCTTGGAATTGAGTTCCTTACGAAAGCCAGAGTGGTAGTTTTGCCATATTTGGGAGGAGTTTTTATTTGGGACGGGAGTTGTCCATGTTTTATTCCATCAGTGGCTCTTTATGGGCACCAAAAGAAGGAAGATCGTAAATATGGCTGCATCGAAATAATCTCTGCATTGCAAGTGAAAACTGGTTTGAAGAGGGGAGACTCTACCTTTCTTACAGCCATGATAGAGATCAAATCGGACCAGCTTATTGAAGTTCTGGATTCTGTTACTGAAATTCTAGAGGAATTTGCAGAAGTGATGCCACCAGAACTACCCAAACAATTGCCCCCTCGATGTGCTGTTGATCACAAGATAGAGTTGGAGCCGGGTTCTAGGGCTCCTGCTCAGGCCCCATACGGGATGGCGCCTTCAGAACTGGCTGAACTGCGTAGACAGTTGGATGAGTTGCTGGAGTCTGGCTATATTCAATCATCCAAGGCACCGTATGGCGCGCCAGTGTTGTTCCAGAAGAAGCAGGATGGCTCAATGCAGATGTGTGTGGACTATAGGGCTCTGCATAAGGTGATTGTGAAGAACAAGTATCCAGTGCCCAATGTTGTAGATTTATTTGACAGGTTGTCAAGGGCATCTTACTTTACTAAGCTGGATTTACGTGCAGGCTACTGGCAGGTGCGTATAGCAGAAGGAGATGAACCCAAAACTGCATGTGTAACTCGTTTTGGGTCTTATGAATTTCTTGTAATGCCGTTTGGGCTAACTAATGCCCCGACAACCTTCTGCAACTTAATGAATAATGTGTTTTATGATTACATCGATCGCTTTATTGTTGTTTACTTAGATGACATTATAGTCTCTAGTGAGTCATTGAAAGATCACTTAAAACACTTGAGATTGGTTTTCTCAAAACTGAAGGAGTTTCAGTTATTTGTCAAAAAGGAGAAGTGTGAGTTTTGTCGCCAAGAAGTGATGTTTTTGGGTCATTGGATCAGTAAGGGCCATGTCAGAATGGATGAGAGAAAGGTGAAAGCCATCCTTGATTGGTCTGCACCTACCAAAGTGACAGAGTTGAGATCTTTTCTAGGGTTGGCAAACTACTACAGAAAGTTTATAAAGGGGTATTCCAAGAAGGTCAGTCCTTTAACGGACTTGCTGAAGAAGGACAAACAGTGGGTTTGGTCTGAGGAGTGCTAGAATGTTTGTAAGATGCTTAAGCAGGCAGTGTCTACAGAACCGGTCTTAAGACTGCCTGACTTTGGTTTGCCATTTGAAGTGTATACTGATGCCTCTGACAGAGCAATTGGTGGGGTCCTAGTCCAAGAAGGACACCCATGTGCCTTTGAAAGTAGGAAGCTTAAGGATGCTAAACAGAGGTATACAACTCACGAGAAGGAGATGACTGCAGTGATACATTGTCTTGACGCATGGAAGCACTATCTATTGGGTACCAAGTTTACAGTGGTGACTGATAATGTGGCCAATACCTACTTCAAAACACAGAAAAAGCTTACTCTAAAGCAAGCTCGTTGGCAAGAGTTTCTTGGGGAGTTCAATTTTGTGTGGGTTCATAGACCTGGAAAGCAGAATCAGGTTGTTGATGCCTTGAGTAGGAAAGCAATGCAGGAGTATGTGGCGTCGTTGACAACGGTTTATACTGATTTCTTTGACAGAATCAAAGAGCAATCTCAGTCCGACAATGCCTATCAGAAACTTAAGTAACAGGTTACTAATGGTGAAGTCAGAAAGTACTGGATTGAAGATAATCTACTCTACGCCAGAGGAGGTAGATTATATGTTCCTGTTGGAGGTTTGAGACGGGAACTAATGCGGGAAATGCATGATCCTCAGTGGGCTGGACATCCAGGGGTGGATAGAATGCTGGCGTTGATATCCAGATCATATTACTGGCCCAAGATGGAGGATGACATAGAGTTATATGTCAAGACTTGCTTGGTTTGTCAGAAAGACAAGCATGAGAGGAAGAAGGAGGCAGGGCTACTGCAACCTTTGCCTATACCAGAGCGTCCATGGCAGTCAGTTTCAATGGACTTCATTTCTGGTTTTCCTAAGGTGGAAGGTATGAGATCTATTTTTGTGGTAGTAGATAGATTATCTAAGTATGCAATTTTTATTACTACACCACATGCATGCCCAACGGAAGTTGCTGCTGGTTTATTTAATAAGTTTGTGGTGAAATATTTTGGCTTGCCTGAAGATATTGTTAGTGATCGTGACACCAGATTTACGGGAAGGTTCTGGACAGTGCTATTTGACTTGATGGGTTCTGAACTGAAGTTCTCCATAGCAAACCATCCTCAGACTGACGGACAGACTAAAAGGATGAACCAGTTATTGGAAGAATATCTAAGGCACTATGTCACTACAAGTCAGAAAAATTGGCTGGAGTTGTTAGACACTACACAATTCTCTTATAATTTGCACAGGTCTTCAGCAACAGGAATGAGTCCCTTTGAGTTGGCAACAGGGCAACAACCTTGCACACCACAGGAGGTGGCAGTGCAGAGGACTGGGGGAAGATGCCCTACAGCATACCGATATGCCCGTTCCATGTAAGAGATGGTGGAGGAGGCACAGGATAGCCTTGCCAAGGCTGCGAGAAGGATGAAAAAGTATGCAGATAAACGGAGAAGGCCATTAGAGTTCCAAGTGGGAGACAAGGTTCTGTTGAAGTTGACTCCACAGATTTGGAAGAACATAAGTAGCAAGACTGTTCACAGAGGGCTGATTCAGAAGTATGATGGTCCCTTTGAAGTTGTGAAGAAAGTGGGGAATGTTGCTTACAGATTACAGTTACCTGAGAGACTGAAGGTCCATCCTACTTTTCATGTGAGTTTCCTCAAGCCTTTTCATGAGGACACTACAGATACATCAAGACAGCAGGCTAAGAGAGCCCCACCTGTTATTCAGTTGCAGTTTAACAAGGAGGTGGAGAAGATGTTGTCTCACCGAACCCAGGTCAGAGTAAGAAAAATCACAGAACTGATTACTTGGTGCAATGGAAAGGATGCAGTGAAACAGAGGCGAGTTGGGAAAGGGATGTGACATTATGGCAGTTTGAGAAATAGGTAAGGGAGTACTTGGACAAGTCGACGAGGGCGTCGACTTCTTCTGGTGGGGGTGGTTTGTTAGCCCCTTGACGGTTGTCCAAGGGAAGACATTGGCATTTCAAGGCCATGCCATGTCTTGGGAATACTTTGGCTTTGGTTAGACAGCCATGAGGATGCTCAGTGGGTTGTCAGCGTGCACAAGATGCTCAGCGTGCACACAAGATGCTTAAAAGGATGCTCGGCGTGTACTAGGGGTGCCCAGTGGTACTTTCGTAAATATGGCGAAAAGTGAAACTTGGAGTTTTGACTCGGGATCTTTATGGGAGGTACCTTGAGTCCATAGAAGCTGGTTAGCACAGACGACACTTAATTTGGATGTCGGGAAAGGCTTGAAAGGCCATTATGACTCCTCAAGCATGGGTGATGTCTACTCTTGTCAGAGTGCTGGATTTCCTTAAGACTATACTAGGGAGGGGTCTGTTGAGCACATCGGTTGGGTTATGGCATGGCTTGCTTAGAGGGCTTAGCCAACATACATAGGCATGTGTTGCACCACTCCAAGATGGTTGCACAAGTGGGGAGCATCCAAGATATTGAAGGGCAGACAAGTGGGCACCGACACGCGTGCTGGTGTGTAGCGGCGCGCGTGCGGGGGTGTAGGTGGGCGCGCGGGCAGTCGTTCAACCTAGTGTGCGCGAGCGTGTAGCTCGGTGTGCGCATGGGCATCTAGGCGAGCGTACAGCCACGGGCGCATGAGGGTTCAAACATGGGGCGCGTAGAAGGGCACTAGTGTGTGCGCCGACGTGCACTTTGGCGTGCACCCGAGCGTGTGCACGGGCGTGCATGGCTTGGCACACCGTGCACTCAGAGACATATATATGTGGGTGCAGATTGGTGGACTTGGCTTGGGCTAGGTTCACAAGGTTGACTCAGATGTGGCTAGAGCATGGACAACACAAAGTCATGGCTTGCGGTTACAAGAGGTGGTGGCTTAGTGGGCTCGGTCGGTTGGGGGAAGTTACTAGCACTTCCCACTCATCATGGGAAGTGGGGGAGTGCTGAGTAACCTCCTAAGCATGTGGCACAATTCTGAGAGGACCAACACACAGGCGGTTAAGGGTGGTTTCTTCCACTATGCAGAATGTAACTTCTTGTGGTTGTGTGGCATGAGTAAAACATGCCAACAAGTCTAGCAGTTGGGCTTGTCAACTGCATTATAGTGCTGGCACATCTAGAGGGTACCAGCACGACCCTAGGTGGATGGGGGTGTCATCCATCATCTTAGTGGGCAGTTATGGGCGGTTTTGAGAGTGGCCTATATAATGCTAAGGTGGGCTTTGTAGAGGGGATAGAGAGGAGGGTGTGAGCCTTGGTTGTTCTTGTTCGAACTCATGTTCCTTTGTAATATGTTTAATATGAGCAAAGGTTGGGACTTGTCCCTGTAAACTGTGTGTGCCGTCTTTACATTTCTATACTGTGTGTATTGTGTTGTTGTGTTGGCTGAGACTTGGTGGCCCCAAGTGCCATTACAGAGGCAAAAATTCGTGGTGTAATTTAGCCCTGTAACATCTACCATGACACTGCCATCTTCACCCTCTCTCTCTCGAGTTTGCTTGTGTTTCCACCTCTCTCAGTCCACCTCGGATCCTATTATGTTATCTGAATCACTCAGATTTGTGTACGATATCACCATTTATATGTATTTTATTGTGTTACGAAAACGAACCCCCACAACGTTAATTAAAAACATCTTTGACGTGGAAGTGGTTGCCTATATAAAGCTTCCTTCCTCCCCAGCTCACTTCATCTCTTCTTTCTCACACACACACGCAAATACAGAGACAGAGAGAACTACAACAATGGATGCCATTGAAGTCCAATATCCGATGAACGGTGGTCATGGCCCATATAGCTATGTTCAGAATTCCAGCTATCAGGTATTATACCGCATTTTATTACAGTACGTTTGCTTCAGTTGTCATGCTTTCTCTAATGTATTTTTAGTGTCAACACAATACTTACTATTTAGTGTGTTTATATATATACCGACTACACAGTACTACTAGACAAAATAATACTCATTATATGTGTGAGCAATATTTTTCTTAATTATTCATCACAGAAAGGGGTGGTAGATGCAGCAAGGGATGTGATCTTTCAAGTAGTTGCAGAGAAGCTCGACCTAGGAAACCCTTGTTTTGATTCTTCAAACCCATTTCGGATTGCAGACCTTGGCTGTTCTACAGGACCAAACACCTTCTTTGCAATGCAAAACGTAGTCGAAGCAGTGAAACTCAAATACCAGTCCATCCCTCAAACCTCCCCGGAGTTCCTTGTTTTCTTCAATGACCACACAGACAATGACTTTAACGTTCTCTTCAGATCCCTCCCTCATAACACCGGGGCATCTCCGGGTTACTTCGCTGCTGGAGTGCCCGGTTCCTTGTTGTTTCCAAAGAACACTTTCCATTTTCTTCACTCCTCCTATGCCCTGCAGTGGCTCTCCAAGGTTCCCAAGGAAGTCCTGGATAGAGACTCTCCTGCTTGGAACAAAGGCAAAATTCACTACACAGGCAGTGATGAGCATGTGACAAAGGCATTTTTTGGCCAGTTTCAGAAGGACATGGATGGGTTCTTGAAAGCTCGAGCCCAGGAAATGGTTGGGGGAGGCTTGATGCTGATTCAGTTGCCTGGTATTAGGAATGGAGGCCTTTTCTCTCAGACTGGTGCTGGTATGATCCATTTCATCTTGGGATCTTGCCTTGTTGAGATGGCTAAAATGGTAAGAACCAATTACTTCTATTCAAAATTAGTTAAACATCATTGGGTCATATTAATAAGTTTGGTACCAATTGGACTCATCTTAAAATTTTGGTAATTATTATTATTCGAGTACGATCTCTAAATTAAGAAGATCCGGTTCTTTCTTGTCAAATTGATATGCCCAAATGGAGGTAGCCTCAATCAGCGATCCTTTCTTATTGGAATTTGACAAAGTACTGGATGCCTTTCAGTCTGGCCTCCACCTCGTACATATTAGCTGCCCAAAACATTGGTCTGTTCATATAACCATTAGCTAGTCTCACTTCACTGTCCAAACCAAAAAGAAAATTAAGCAATATCAACTTTATACACTTTGATATAGGATAAATTCTCGCATAGTCTTCTCAAAATTTTATAATTTCACTTACTGTAATTTATGTAATAGATTCTCCCATCCCGTCATTTTGCCCTCTTAATACTAGAAATGATAACAAACATTTTGTGGGCAAAATGATTAAAAAAAGTCATTGATATGAGAAATATGTGAAATTATGAAACGTATGGAGACTCTATGTGAAATATTTACAAAATTTAGATGATATAAGTGAAATTTACCTCCATGACATGGCATCTAAGAAGGAAGTAAATAAATAAAATAAGAAAGATCCACAAAAGAGTTTTAACCATTTTATCTATTCAAATGAAATATTTGAGAGTTTAAGTATCAATATAAACAAATCTGTATGTCGTATTTGAGTGGACATGAAAGGATGTGAAGAAGAAGAGCAGAAAAGATTTAAGATACCTAATTAACCATGTTTTGGGTTTCTAAGACGAGATCCAAAAATTGAAGCAAATAACTTGCTAGGTCACTGTTTATTATTATTATTATTATTATTTTACCCTGGCATGAAAACAGCCATACAGCATCTACAGAGGTACCATTGTCAAAGCAAACACAGTCAGCATCAACAAACACAATACATCCAAAACTAACACCCACAAATGTCAAGATAACAGCCTTGACAATAACCTGCATGAAAAGGTGTCAGTGAAAGCGAGAGTACCAGCACCCACAAGCAAAGCTAACTGAGTGGCAAAAGGCTGAGAGACTCGAAATGAAAGGCATCCCCAAGATGAACACCAGATTTTCTAATTCGTTGTTTTAAACTTAGCCCCCACCATAGTCATTGTGGTAGAGGTCTACACCTTGCCGAATAAACTAGAACGACACAGTGGTTCACTCTGGTCAGAATCTTCCACCAACAACATGCTTTGCTCATTCTCCATCTGAGTCAGAGTCATGCCGTGGAACCAGAATATCACAATAACCCACCATAGAGGACTCCCAGCCCAGCAAGAAACAGAAGAAAGCTTAACACAGTAGGAGCTCAAAAAGAAAGAAACGTAAGTAGTAAGTGGAAGAAAGTGAAAATAGAAAAGTAGTGGACCCTAAAGATCAATAACAGTAAATATAAAAAGGCAACCTAGGACTTCAAGATAAGAAGCGTAGACAATACGCTACTCACCTTTAGTCACACACTTCATAAAGCTCAATAAATGATTGGACGTGAAATCGTAAAAAAACTAAACTCTACAGATAGAATCTGCACCACCTTACACAAAGCCCTTAAATAGTTAATGACTTGGCCCACCACCAACCAACATATCACTTGGAAATTATCATCACCACACGTCAGCCATGACGTTAAAACTTCACCAACCGAATACCCAACAGCCGACTTCCAAAGCCAACCTACCGAGAAACTGCCGAGCACAACATTGCAAACACCATAGACATCGGACGCCGGAATGGTTCTCGATTGCTTCAGCTCTTCCCCCCATAGCAAAGCACTCCAAAAATAGAAGCTCCAAAGAGGATCATTCAGAAAGATCCATCTTCGACGACCCGAGAACATCACCTCCGCATGTCGCCACTGAGTCTGCCCCTCCACGTGACACCCGCGTCCAAGACTCCACGCCGAAGCTTCCAGAGAGCACCACCACCATACTTCTCCCCAAACAAAACAGATCAACGCCGGCTAAGAAAACCCTACCGTCAACCAAACCACCGCCCCTGGTTGAAACACGCCACACTTATATCCCTTCCACACCGCCCCACTCCATCGGATTCCCAACAGGTCCAGTGGAATCCCAAGCCAAACGCCGCTATCAGCTAAAGCAAGTTGCATCCAAACCCAAATCCAAACAATACCCAGCCAATGGTGACGATCACCACAAATTTGCCAAATCACTATCATCGGCCAAACACACAACACAAATTCACCCAAGACAAATTCACCCAAGACAAGCATCCCAGAACCATGTAGAGGGAAAAAACCTAAAGGAAAATAGAACTTAAGATGCAACAATGGCAGAAAACTCCACCAAATCCAAAGGAATATGGTGAATTTAGCGGTCTCAATACGAAACCTAGAATAACTATACGCCAGCGACATATCACCTGATTTGGATCCACACACTCAAAACAAAAATTTTGCAAGAAACCCAAAGATCCACAAAACTAGAATCACTCAGCCACCAAACACACAGACACTCAACTCTAGAAACAGATCTACAACAGCAAACAACAACCCACACCACCAAAAAGATCGTGATGAACGCAAACACTCTAACTCTCAATTAAACGAGACGATCTCTATACAGAGAAAACCTCGACAACAGCGAGGAGACACTTCACTCTCCAATATGAATGAGTTAAGGTGCTGCAATTGGACTAGAATCCCTCAACTACAATTACTTTTCATACTTTTCAGCATATATATAAATAGCTTATAAAAATATCTAGGAAAAAGAATGGTTTTCATTTGGCAGTGAATCACTATCTATATATTGTTGGAACTAATTAATCCTGTTTATTTTAATATAATTCATTAAACAAATTAATTAAGTGGGTTGTCCATTATTATTGCAGGGGTATACAACTGAAGAAAAAGTGGACACCTTCAACGTGCCTCAGTACCATCCATTAATTGAGGATCTAGAAATGGTGGTAGACATGAATAAGTGTTTTACCATAGAGAAGGCCGGCGTGTTATTCACTTTGAGGACCGAGTCATTTCTATATTTTCACTTTTTGGACACTATTCACTTTTTGTCCTTTTCCCTATTTCGTTCTTTTCCCTATTCTGTCTTTTCCCTATTTGTTAGTTTTTGGCACAACCTCAATTTTTATGCTTGGAGTTGGTTTTTGACTTCACGTGCCTTCATCCTAAGTGATTTTCATGAAATACGTATCTTTACTTTTGCAAGAAAATACTCTGGTTGCTCTCGGTGTTCATAGGGGTATGGATGCACAATTCTTCAGAATCTTTTTCTTTTCTTGGGGTGTTTTTTATAAATATCTTTTGAAGATATTTTATTTTAGGGGTATCTAAGAAAATATCTTTTGGAAGATATTTTAATTTTGGGCAGTTTCACAGTTAACCGTTTTTGTAGGGGCCATTGTGCAATTAACGAAAGTTATTGCAAAATGCCTCATCTGGAGCCTGTATCCTTGTACGGGATTCATTTTCACATTTTGTTGAGTTGTGTACTCCTAGAATTTCTTTCTGGTCGTTTTTCTCCAGTTTCAGAGTTTTTGACCCTGCTGAACTTATTCAGGGAATATCTCTCTGCTTGGGTCACAGTTTTTGACGCCGTTTATTTCGTTGTTCATATTTTCTCATTTTGAATCTTTTTTGTTCACAGAGTTTTGCTGTTTGAGCGTGTCTGCTCAAATTCCATTTTTCTAGACCAGCGGGGCACTTTTTGAGATTTCTATAAATAGGTTGCCCTAATTTTTTAAAATCAGATTTTTAGACCTTCTTCCTCCTCTTGGCCGGCAGCCATGGGAGCCCAAGGGGCTGCCTTCACTCTTTCTTCTCCTCCACTTGATTTCATTGGTAGAAAACCCTTCGGCCTTAACGTTTATTGTTCGCCTTGACGCTGCGCACCTTTCCCCCTTATTAGAACCCATTTTTGGCCAAATTTTGAGTTCGGGTTTGAAGTCAAGTTGTGATTTTCATGGGGCTTCTTGGGTATTCTTGTTCATTGTGTTGTCCCCGACAAAACCCTTCGATATCGTCGGATTCGGAGCATTTTTCTTTCGGTGGGAATTTGAGATTTTCATCTCAAATTGAGATAGGGGGTATTATCGGTTATTATTCTTGTCATATTGCATGCTAGTGATGTTTATGTAACTTATTTACATGCTTTGGTAATAAATTTAGAGATTTTATTATTCATTTTTCTTGTAAAGGATTTGATTTTCCCGGTTGATTATAACTTTGTTTAAACATGTGGCATGGAATTATATTACCCCTTGATATGGTCATTGATATATATTAAATTGAGAATTTTTGGACAAGTAATGAAGATTTTATTTAATATTTTTCTTGAGTAAATATTTAATTCATGTGGCCTTATCTAGCTTGAAATCAATATGTGTTACCATATTATGTTATGCTTTAATACACTCTTCAACATATGTGAAATTGAAAGTAATCGGAGATGTTTTGAAATCTAGTAATTATTAATTAATTTGATTAATTAATTTGCTCCAAGTGCACTATTCATTTCTTTGAAATTCCGATTTGATATTCTTGATGTGCATGCCATATACTTTCACATATATTAAATTTAGAATATTTGATTAGGTTTTGAAACATTTCATTTAATTAATTTATTTGTTTGAAGTTTAATCCTCATGATGATATATAACTTGGAATTAAAGTGTGGCATGCTAGAAATTTAGGCCTTGGTATACTTGTTAACATATATAAAATTAGAATCATTTGAATGAGAATTGCAACTTTTATTTAATATTTATTTTTGGTGAAAGTTAAATTTACATAGATGTAACTTGCATGAAATAAGCTTCTAATGTAATATTATAATAGGCCTTGGCATGTTCCCTAACATATGTTAATTTGAGAACATTTAGATGAGTTTGAAATTCTACAGATTTTAATTAAAAGGATTAATTAAAATCTATTTAATGGTTGCATTGGCTTAATTAAGTTTTTAACTTGATATTTGTAATAACCATGACTTGTTTACTAGCATATAGTAATTTGGGACCATTTGAAGTTGCTTTAGAACCTTGGGATTTAAATTAGCATGATTTAATTAAAATTCCACTTTATTGCTCCAACAACCTAATTGAGTTTTAGAATGGATATTGGTGATGACCATGCTATGTCCTTTAATATGTATTAATTTGAGGTTATTTGGAATTGAATTAGAATCTAGAGAATTTAATTGTGTTTATTTAATTAAATTCCATCTAATTGCTCCATGGATTTAATTGTGTCTTGAGAAGTTGTTTCTATGTTTAAATCATGGACTTAGACTTGTTGTGTATTCATTTGGTTAAATTTGAGCATTTGATAACATTGTTGTTATATTTAAATTTATGAGCTTGTGTTTTCAATATTGAAAGATATTGTTATAGCGTGTAACGAATCGCACACTGAAGATTCGACATTTGTCATGCCATAGTAGTTGTGGACTTAGTATATGTATTGTATGTGTTTCCAAAGTTGGTTGTGCTTGGTAGATAGTTGATATCTTGCATATACATGTTGATATATAAGTTGTTACACAACTTGTTGATTTTGGAAACTTGGGGATGTCGTTGTTAGGCTACGGCTAGGACTTGGTTCTAGTACGAGAGATTGTCCCTCTATATAGTCTATTGCGCACATAGAGAGGTTACCCATGGGCTAGTAACCTAAAAGTAACTATGGTGTCGGTCTGATCCGGCGTGACGTCCAAGTATCCACTTTGGTTGATTTCGCATTTCTTTTCAAGTTGATAACTAGATGATATCGTAACTTGTTGTTCTTTGTTTGATTTACCATTTTAAGTTGCAAGATGTTAACTTTGAGAAATCATGCTTTATGCGTTGTATTGGAAGTTCCAATGTTGGTTAAATTGTATCGATATCATGATTTGTGTTTTGATGTTCAAATGTAATTTAGGAATGATCTTATAGATTCATTTTGAACATAGACGTTAGGTGGCATGACCCACTCTTGTTGTTTTCGTATTTTAGGTTTCAAGTTGATGACTTTGAAAATCTATATCTTGTTACTTTGTATAACATGTTTCTATGTTGTTGAAATGCATGAAAGATGTGATTTATGCTAGAAACACTCTAAGGTAGCTTAGGATGTTTCCTGAGTCGCATTTTGATATAGACGTTAGGTGGCATGAACCCCTTTAACATGTTTCACCATAAGGTGATAAAATTGTAAAATGCTAGGTTGATGCATGCTCATCTCCTACGAGTAGCTTTATGTTACTCACCCACGTAGTGGAGACATTTTTCAGGTACAGGAATCAATGTTGAGATTCTCATTATGCTTGGATGATTTGTGAACTTGAAGATTTCCATTCTTGTGAAGGTTGGCTTGAAATGCCATTTGTAGCCATTTTGTCAAATGTGTATATTTGATTCCAAACTTGTATTATGTGCTTAAGCACACTTTTTGGTATTTATTCTATGTATATGATATGTGGCCAATGGCCAAACTTCATTTGTAATCCATGTATATTGAAAAATGTAGAATTTTGCCTTTAATGAGAAAAACATGAAAACTTGGGTTTCATTATGTCATTTTCGCACCGGTGTATGCATTGTGTATGTAATTCATCCTTTAGCATTCATTTTCTATATATAAGGTGTGGCCAAGGGCCAAATACTTTAGTTTCAATTTTTGCATCTTAGTTCACATATTACATTTTTGGGCTAAAATAGTAGAAACCAAGCTTTTAAGGGTTTATTTTCAAATCAGGTGGTGCAAAGTGTGTTCCAGCACCTCTACTAGGTCTCATTAAACTTGCATGAAGTGTGGCCAAGGGCCAAACGGTAATTTGAAATCATTTGTCAATTTTAAATTTCAAATTTTCCATTTCATGTGCATTTTCGCCCTTTTGGCCGTTGGAGGGTCAAATTTTGCATCGATGGTATTTTTAAGTCATGGACCATTGTAGCACGTCCTAATAGGTAAGTTACATTTGCGTGCATGATGTTTTCAAGAAAAACCTCTTCCTCGGCAATTTGAGCATCCTAGGGATTCATTTTGCACTTTTGTTGCATAATCTGATCTAGGGGTATTCTAGACCTTTCACATCAGTTTTATTTTATTCTTTTGACATGGCCGCTTAGAAAACCTGATTTTAAGGGGGGGGGGGGGGGGTTGTATTTTGCATTATTCCAGAAAATGTCGTCTTGGTACCGGAAATCCATTACGAAGTTCAGCATTCAATTTTGCATTTAGCAGCTTTTTGGCCTTCAATGATTAGATTTCATGGAGGGGCATTTTGAACATTTTACAGTAAGTTTTTTTGGAATTCTCTTGCGAGTCATGTAGAAAACTCGATTTCAGGAGGGGTTTCTTTTTCATGTTTTTCCAGAAAAATTCATCTTCTAGCCCGTTTCCGCTCTCAGATCAGGACAGTCACTGTAGCAACTTTTGCCCTCTTGTCCAGTTCTGATTTAGGGGCATTTCGGGAATTTCCTTTGAAAAATAAATTCCGGTCTTGACATGGTCACATAGAAAACATGATTTTAGGGGGGGTTTCTTCACAATATTTTTCCAGAAAATGTCATCTCGGACCCGAAAACCCCGCGCCAAAATCTGATTTCCTATGCACATTTTCACTATTTGAACAAGTCTGTTGTAGGGGTATTTTGGGGATTTTACTTCAAAAATAAAATTTTCTTTCAACATGGTCAGCTTGGAAAAATTATTTTAAGGGGGGTTTCTTCTTCGTGTTTTTTCAAAAAATATCGTTTAGTATCTCAAAACGGCACACGAACTTCAGCATTTTGCCCAGGTTACTATTCATGGCCGCGGCGACGTTAAAACTCTGTTTTGACTTTCTCTTCCATCCGGACTCCGAATCAAGTGATTCTTGAGTCTAACTTGATTAATTTTTCGCTGCCTTCCCAGTGGTATGTTCGGTAGCACCCGATTTTATATTTTTTCAAAAATGACCATTTTGCCCTTGGGGCTATTTTTGTCCGGTTTTCTTGTAATTCACTTCCGCTACTTTCTTTTGAGTTCTGTGACTTCATGGGAAGTCATGGATGTGTCTCGAGAATAATTTACATTCTAGAGATGTCATTTTTATGTAAAATGACTATTTTGCCCCTGGGGGCTTGTTTGTCATATTTTTGACCTTTTGCTTTCGCATCAGTTCTCATTGAGTTCCATGACCTTATGGAAGGTCACTTTGACTTTTTAGAGTCTTGTTTTCCATTTTCGCTTTCGCATTTCGGATCCGTTATCGGATCATACTTTCGGTTCATCACTGACGCACTGGCCTAAAAACCAGGGTCGTCACAATTTTACATTTACAATAGAAATTCCATTATATTAATTTTTAATTAAATTTTAAAATAGAAATTCAATTATACTAATCATGCATTAAATTGAAATTGATATAAAAATTTATTAAATGGAGTTTGTGGTTTTTTGAAAAACCCTAGGTTATATTTTATTTTATTTAAATATATCATTGTCTAATGTGATAGAGTTTATAGAGAAAAAAAATATGTAATTCGTGGTAGAGTTTTATAAAAATTATTTTATTTTATTTAGATATATCTTTATCTAATTGTATATATTTTTTATTCAAATACTCATAATAAATAGATAAATCTAGGGGTTATATGTTATTGAGTTATCTTTTTGTACTAATTAATAAATTTTTTTATATTAAAAAATAAATATTGAAATGTAAAAACTCTTTACACTTTTATATTTTATTTATTTGTATTATTATATTATTATATATTTTCTTTAAATATATCCTTGTCTAATGTGATTAACTTTTATAGAAAATAAAATAGGTAATTTGTGTTAGAGTTTATAGAAATTATTTTATTTTCTTTAAATATATCCTTATCTAATTAGATTTCCTTTTATTAAAAAAATTATAATAAATAGATAAATACAGGTTATATATAATAGAGTTTTAAAGAAAATGAAATGGGTAATTTGTGTTAAAGTTTTATAGAAACTCTTTAAATATATCATTGTCTTATTGAAATAAAATAAGTAATTTGTGATAAAATTTTATAGAAATTATTTATTTTCTTTAAATATATCCTTGTATAATTAGATTTTCATTTATTTAATGATTTGAAACATCTTGATTGAATTTCAATTAAACAATTACCTATTAAATTTTAATTAATAATTTATTTTATTATTTGGTAAATTATTTTATTAAATAATTGCCTATTTTATTTTAATAGGTAACTTTTTTATTTTAATTGATAACTTATATGATTTATTTTAATTAGTAACTTATTTTATTATTTGGTAAATTTTTTTTATTATTTTGTCTATAAATCATTTGGTACACTTTTTTCCTCTTGTAGATTTTGTAGTTTGCAGTTACAGGGACAGAGAGAGAGCAACTTCAGAGTTGAGAACGAGAATAGAGATAGAGGCGATTGCGGAGGTTGAAGACAAGCCTAGGGTTCGTAATGTCGAATGAGTTGGTAAGTTAGAGAAACAAATGGTAAATTTGTCACCAAAGACTAAATTAAATGTTAAGCCGTGGTGGTGGATTCTTTCCTTTGAGATTTTTCTATTATTTGATCAGAAATTATTTAGTCTTATTTATTTATTTATTTTTAGTTCATTATTCAAAAATCATCAAATTGTTTTAAATTTTTTTTCTTTATTCCTTTTAATTGATGTTTTGAATCTATGTTCGGAATCTAATTTGAGAGTAGTTCGACCGTACTTATCACTATATAATATTTAATTTAGTCTTTATAGGATTTTCTTTGTTTTTGCACGAAGTGTTGACAGAATCCATAAACCTACATTCGTCACTCTACCACAAATTAATTACCACCCTAACACAAATTACCTATTTATCTATTTATTAAACAAGAATATATTTAAAGAAAATAAAATAATTTCTATAAAATTCTACAACAAATTACCTATTTATATAAAACTCTACCACAAATTATCTATTTTATTTTCTATAAAACTCTATCACATATAACCAGTATTTATCTATTTCTTATGAGTTTTTTAATAAAAGAAAATCTAATTAGACAAGGACATATTTAAAGAAAATAAAATAATTTTTCTAAAACTTTATCTATTTGTTAGATAAAGATATATTTAAAGAAAATAAAATAATTTTTATAACACTCTACCACAAATTATCTATTTCTCACTACAACAAATTAGGAATTCACCAGCGCTTTTTTAAAGATTTTAATGAGCACTGGTGTTGTGTACTAATTACCATGGTATAAGTATAGGAGTATTTTTTAAAGCGTTGGTAAGTGTGAAATTTAGTGCGGGCGGGAAAAATTGGCGCTCTAATGTTATTTCACTTTTTTATTTCGTTAATTTTCCATTTATTTCTAACCTTATCTCATCCGAGCCCTAGTTTTCTCTTCAGCCTCCCCATTCGCCTCCATCTCTATTCTCAGTCTCAACTTTGAACTTGCCCCCTCTCTCTCTGCAACTCCCCAATCGCCTCCATCTCTATTCTCGTTCTCAACGATGAACTTGCCCCCCCTCTCTCTCTGCAACTGCTAACTAGAAAATCTACAAGAATCAGAAGTTCAAAACCCATATATTTCAGTTTATCTATCTGTCTGCAAGAATCAAAAGTTCAAAACCTATTACATAATCAAAACCCATATCTGATATGCCAAATTGTTCAAAAAATCAAAACCCATATCTTTTAGTTCCCATCGCCCGCTGTTCCAGTTTGGGTTCGCCGTTCACAAGCTTCAGCCGCTGTCTCTCAACTCTCAAGCTTGCCCCCCTCTTTCTTTCTGCAACTGCTAACTTGTAAGTATGCTTCGTTTTTTTTTTTTTTTTTTTTTTTTTTTTTTTTTTTTTAAATCAATTAATCACTGGCTTGTTCTGATGGAAAAACACGAGGAGGACGACACTTCCAGGGACCAGATCATCGATAGTTACATCAAAACCCTAGTTATGGTTGTTGGAAGGTTTGGATTAACGTTTTATTTTTTTCTGTAATTTTCTTATAATTTGATTAAGGCTGCTCCCCCCTTTGGTTAATGAGAGATATAAAGGAAGTTACAGAAAATTGCCCAAGTCAGATTGTGATGTTGATTTTATGTGTTCTGTTTGTAGAGTGAGTGCTCCGCAGTATCGGATGTTGCCGACGCAGACAAATCTGAAAATGCCTCCACTTCCTTCCAATATGACGGAAAAGGTTCTTCCAGCTGCAGCAACACAATCAAAGACCAGTGGGGGTGAGAATTTTGAGTTCCTCAAACTAATTATGTGCTTCAAATTTTGTATTCTGAATTTGTAAAGGAAGTAAAACTTTGGATCATATATATGTGTATGTACATATTTTTTTTTGATATGCACAGGAAATTTGGGAAAAAATTGTTCTGATTTTGAATATGTAAAACTTTGGATTTCTGCAAAACCCTCTCAAAGTTGAGTCAATAATTGTGCATATAATATTATCCTTTTTAACATTTTGTGTTAATTTATCATGTTTATTCCTTCAATGTATTAAGGGTTTTTATTCAGAACCATGCTCTACTATGGTGTTATAATTTCTCATTTAGAAGTTATCAAGTTCTTTCAACATAAATTTTCTTATTTTTTGTGCCTAGGAGTGGTTCTTGTATTACCTACAAAATGAGTAGTTCATTTAATTTTCAGGAAGAAATTAAAGTCACTTTATTTTTCTCTTTGTCAGCAGAAAACTATAGCCATCTCAAATTGAACCAAATTCGACAATCTGTAGAAGAAAGCCACGCTTATGTAAATTAGTAGTTTGATGAAGAATTAATGGCCAACTAAGAGTTGATTGTGCATGTGGAAAATTAAAATGTTATGTTTCTTATGCATTGTGATAAAATGTTTTGTTTCTTGTGTTGATATGCCTGAGACATTTATAATGAAATTTTGATTCTTCTGTTGCCAGTTGCTGTTATATGTAAAAGCATTTTCTTATCAAGTTTCAGATTTTTTGGTTGTAATTTTATTTTTTTTCCCCTTTCATGTTACAGTTTCTCTGGAGGTGAAGGTTTCAAATTGAGGTCATTGGTTACTTAGGAGGGTTTGAACACCAGATCAAGTCCATTAGTGATAAAAGAGATCTGCATTTTTCTTATAGTGTTTAGAGGTTTCAAGTGTCTCGTGGCTTCTGGGGTATACTAGTACTTTATTCTGCTATCGTTTGTTTGAAAGAAGGATGGACCATTAAATTGAATGCGACTAATTTTAGGCCTATGATTGATTTGCTGCACCTTTTTTGCTCTTTTAAGTGTGATCATTGATTACCCCACATGATTTTTATGAATACATGAAAGGGAACATAGTTGTGTGAGATTTAATTAATTATTTTGCTTGATGTTTAGTTGATGGTTCATTCATTAGCAACTAGTCATGAACCATTTCTCTACTTCTTCTGGTGTCCTTATAAATATTTTAATACATGAAAGGGAACAATTACATCTAATATGATATTCATTTTTCATTATTTTTAGGTGATTATAGTATAATTGTTTGATGGCTTTGCAGTGAAAATGCAATCTAATTGTATATTTGTATTACATAGTTGGTATTCCTGTTAAATTTATATATATTTTTAGGGTAATTTATAGGACTAGTTTTGAAAACTAGAGTAAATGGGGGTACCAACTAGAAGGTGTTTCTGTGGTTCTGTTTTTGGTGGTGTGCAGTGTAATGGAGGAAGTGTTTGTTTTTGGGGAATGAAATACTACTTGGATTTATTACTATTTTTCTTTTTCTGAAGCTATGTTTCCTTTGTCACACCACACCAATGGTGTTGAAAAATTTATATTTGAATTTATGTCTTAGGTTTGTTCAAACTGCTTCCGAACTCCTAATCTTGGTTGGTTTGTGTTGCTAATTTTTAGATTGGTTTTATTGAAGCTTTAATGATTTTCATTTTGGTGTTTTGATAGTTTTTGTGAATCAACTCTTTGAACTTTAAAGTTATTCTGTGGGTTGATTTGTTCAGGTGTTAATACACAGAATGGAGAAGAAGTTGCGATTAAGCTGGTATGTTAGCAAACTTATCATGCAATTCAGTATTCACGTTAGAGATGCTGTCAATTTCAAATGTAGATTTTTTTTTTTATTTTTTATTTTCTTTCAAGTAAGTGATTTTTTTTTTAGTAAATGGATTTGTTTGTGCAATTTCCCTGTCAGTGCTCAAAGCAAGTATCCATAAAAGTAAAAAAATGAAAAAAGAAAGAAAAGAAAAGAAAAAAGAAGTGGTTTAATAGGAGACCCTGCCTCAGACCCCAAATATAGTGATGTAACTTCGTTACATTTTGAGGTACATGTGTTGCAATAGTGCACAGGATCCCTAAACAGAAGGGGATACAGGTTCCCTTAAAGAATAGGAATGTGGCTTCCCTTCACAATAAATTACACTAATCTGATAGGAAATGGATGTTGATTTATTGATTTAACTGTAAAAAGAATCTTTGTTTCTTATGACCGTGCCAAAAAAAAAAAAAAAAAAAAAAAAAAAAAAAAAACCCTATTGCAGAGCTTTGTCTTCTTAGGGCCCGTTTCCATTTTCGCCATAAAAATGAATTTGAAACTAACCAAATTTTTTGGCCAGCCAAATGAACCCGCCTAGCACAGACACGTATCACTATGTGTTCTCTCACTCTTTCAAAGAGGCCACCCAATCACTCTCTCAAAATTTATTTCTATTACAGTTGATTGGAATTGATTTGGGTTTTGATCTGCTAAGTAGCTTCTAAGTTTGTGAATTATTTTTTCTCTTCACTTATGACATGTGATAGCCATATAAGATTGCCTGTATATTAATTGATTATAAGTTAATAGCTTGTATTAAGGAAATATTGAAATGTCATATATCAATGTTCAATTAATTAGACAACAATGCATTTATCGCATAATTCTGAAAAATTTGCATCTGTTTCTTCTTTGCTCAGTTCTCTCACCACCAATCCTCGAACTCTAGACCACACAAACCAACTTCTATGCCAAAGAGTCTATGAGTAAATCGGTAATTTGCATCTGCATCATTCTGGATTTCTTCGATTGATATATATTCATGAATTCATTGCTTCAAACTTGAATCTTCTTATGATATATCGATTAATGTAGCAAAAGTTTACTAAAAATACCCTTGAATTTACTTCTTCTTTTTTTAACACAAGATTTTATTGCCAATATATAGGATAGATATATGATAATTTTTAACAATAGGAAGCTGCAATACTTACTATTCTCTCTTCTTCTATAAAGATTTAAATGCTTCATAATAACTCCAACACAGATTATAATAACTCTAATTCTTGCATTATTAACTTACATAGCAGTTAATTTTGCACAAAATACGTATTAGTAATAAATTTGGTAGCCAAAATTTCTTATACATACTATACAGTCTTCTTATTCAACTCTTCATTTGTCTATATGTTATCAAATTAAATACATTATACTGAGTTTTGTGTGTGTGTAAATTACTTGATATAATAAGAAAAGCCAAGTCGCATAATTCCAAAGGAATATCTTGTTCTCACCCGGATATCGAGTTTTCTAAAATACCCTTTAAAAAATTTATTTCAGTCTTGAAATTCTAATCTCAATTTTTTTCTTATTTATTTTATTTTGCAAGTTTAACATTGATTGCAATCTAGTTCCCTTTTTGGATTCGGATCTTAGATTTTTTTTGAAATTTTGATATGTGAATTTGATTAGTTGTGTAATATTGGATTTAGATATTAGCATTTTGACATGTACTAAAATTATTATTTTAGATTTTGGATGATTTGTACATTTTAATATCTAAATTCTTAATGGAATGTGTTTTATATTCTATGATTAATTATCAAATATATTGATTTGGTGTGAGATGCTTGGATCTTAGTTTAGATTGTTTAGTTTATTAATATTTTAATTTAAGTTACAGGTTCCAAATAGGTAAAAACAAAATTATATTATTGTATTTGTTGTAGGACATGTTATTTTGTTACAACAAAATAGCTTATAGTGACAATATTTTTGTGACAACATGATATATATTGCGACAAAATATTTTGTCATGATAGAATAGCTTATAGTAACAATATTTTTGTCACAACATGATAAATATATTGCGACAAAATATTTTGTCACAACAAAATAGCTTATAGTGACAATATTTTTGTCATAACAAGATATATATAATGCGACAAAATATTTTGTCACAATAAAATAGCTTATAGTGACAATATTTTTGTCACAACATGATAAATATATTGCGACGAAATATTTTGTCACAACAAAATAGTTTATAGTGAAAATGTTTTTGTCACAACATGATACATATATTGCGATTAAATATTTTGTCACAATAAAATAGCCTATAGCGACAATGTTTGTCACAAAAGATTATACATATAGTGACAAAAAAATTCTTTGTCACAAAATAGTGACGAATAATGACAAATTTCATAAGTGTTATAGTGTTTAAGATGACAATTATCAAATATTTTGCGACAAATGTTTTGTCGCAATTTTTCCACATTTTGTGACGAAAAAGAATTTGTCACAATATATTGTACTTCTAGTGACAAAACAATATTTGTCACGAAAAACATATTGTGACCGGCTTCTAGCGACAAACTGGGGACAAAATTTTTTTTGTCGAGATAATCTTTTTGCGACAAAATATGCACTTTTGGCGAGAAACTCTTTTGTCGTCAAAGCCAAATTTGTTGTAGTGCCATCAATTATCTATGCCATTCTTCCTAAATCAGGAGGTCGCTTAGCTTTCCTTATTTGGTGTGTGCTCAATGGGAAACCATTTGATCTTGCCTTTCTGATGTATCACCACATGATTGATTGCAAGAAGAATTCACATGAGCACATTTTTTATGCCATGCCTCTTACCTTAATTCTCAGCTCCAAAGGAGTTCCCCTTGATGTTGAACTTGAACAAACGTAAGATGATAACAGCAAAATCAACTCCACTACCCTTAGATTGATGGGGTTCAAAAGGGATGGCAATGGGGATTGGTATTTGACAAGGCCTCTAGCAAGATACCAATTTTAGTGTGAGAGGGCTGTAATGACCCGATCATTTTTCTTCCTTTTCTTTTCTCAGATTTTTACAGATATTTTTTTTTTTTTATTGTCTTTTCTTTTCTGCGTACAGTTTTTCGTCACTTGATGTCATCTCGAGTGCTCTGGAATGATTTTCGAGACTCTTTTTCTTGGATTGACAACTTCCTTTGAGGATCGTGTCATTTTCACATTTTTATTTTTTCCGAACACTATTCACTCTTCGTCTTTTTCTCATTTATCATTTTTCCTTGCGCAACCTCACTTTTTGTGCTCAGATTTGATTCCGGTTTTGCATGCATTCCTGATATTTAAATTCCATGCTATGTGTATTTTTATTTTCTTAGAAAAACATGTTAAGTGTTTACTTTTCTTGTAAAGGGTATGGATGCATACTTTATTGTAATTATTATTAACTTGTCCGATTTTAGTGTAATTAAGTAAAGTAATTATTTTTTGTCTTAGCGACCATTTTGCAGTTTAATTTGGAAGATATTTTGGAAAAGAACTTTTTTGCAATTTTTGGAAAATGTGACAAGTGTCACATTCTCATGGTGCCACTTGTTGGCATTGGGGTGGAGTGACTTTGATGCATCATCTTGTGACATTTGGAGGGTGGAGATTCACCCACTTGTTAGCCTAGGATTGGTGCACTTGTTGTCTTAGATGGTTGACAAATATAGGCTTGAAATTAAGCCTAGGAAGGAACCTTGGATTTGTGACAAGTGTAGGTTCACAATTAAGTCTTGCAATTATTTTTGGGCCACTTTGGGATTATGGTTTTAAAGAAGGGTTTCTTGTGCAATTGACCAAACTTGTGTGTGTTGACCATGGTGTAAGATCACATAGTGAGTGGAGGATTTCTATTTTCTCTACTTACACTTCATTCATTGTTTTCATTATCTTCCTCACCAAAAACCCTAGCCTCCATGAATGAAGCTTAAAGCCTTAAGCTTTAACTTTGATTTTTGAGAGCCTTCCATTGATTTCCAAGCTTAACCTTGGGAATACTTTTTGGTCCCCTCATCCTCCTCTTCATAACCCTTGAAGGGTTTGCCATTTTGTGTTGATTTGCCTTGGATTCAAGGAGAGCAATCCTCTTGTGAGGTAGGGGGTGTTATAGTTTATTTTCCAAGTTATTTTGATTGCTTTTGTAATGGAATACAAGTGATATGCATGTTTTAATATTAACTTGAGAAATTAATGATTGTTGTAACTTGCATATAATTCACTTTTGACTTGGTATGTGGCATGGCCTTCACTTGATCCTTATTATATAATTAATTGGAGTCATTTGGATGAGTTTTCAAATCTAGAGATTTAAATGAATTTAATTTGATTTAAATTCTATTTAATTGTACCTTACTTGTTTTTCAGTTTTGACTTGATATATGGCATGGACATGACTTAGTTCTTGTCATATATTTATTTGGGATCAATTGAACAACTTTGAAAAAATTAGAGATTTAATTAATTTAAATTAATTAAAATCTATATGATGATGTCTTGCTCATTTTGCTCTTTTGATTTGATATATGCAATGAGCATGCTATGTTGTTTAACATATATTAATTTGAGGTTATTTGGGATAGATTTGAAATCTAGAGACTTTCCATGATTAGGTTAAAAATCTCCTAAAATGTAGTATTCTAATTACCTTGTGAGCATGCTACTAACTTAATGTATAATTAGTACTTATGGCCTCTTAAAATGGTAATTGGACTTAACATGATATAGAATATCATTGATTTGCAAAGCTTGTTTAAATGTATCTTGTGTAGGTATATAGCTTATTAGAATATTACAATTGTTTACTTTGGAAGCTAGTTACTAAATTGAAGCTTATTTAGTACTTGTGGTTTAGGATGGTAATGTGGCTCAATTGTTGTAAAACATTCTTACTTTATGTATAAATTACATATTGAGGACATGACTTATCATATGCTGTTTAAACTTGAATTCTAGGACATGAATTGTGTGGATTCAACCTTACTTGTGCATGGAATATGGTAACTTGCATTCGATTTTGTATAAGTTTTGAACTTATTGATTTTGGAAAGCTTGCGAGGACATAAATTATGTGATGGCTAGGGTTTGGCTCTTATATGGAGATAAGAGTCTTTTAAGTCATAAGTGCGCACTGGGTGGTACCTTGTGGGTCGTAATTACCCAAAAATACTTGCTTGGTCTAGTGACCGAATGTCCTAGTCTTTCCATTATATATTTTCACATTTAATTTCAAGTTGTTAATTATAAATTACTTGTAGCTTGAGAATTGATGCTTACTTTGGGTATTTGAATCCTATTTAGTGTACTTGAACTTGTATACTTGCTCTGTGAGTTTAATTTGCATTTAGTATACTTGTGCCATGTATACTTGTCTTATGCGTATCTCATTTGGCTTAGTATACTTGTGTTTACGTACATATTAAATGTATACTTGAGTAGATATGCTTGGACGTTGCATAATTTGTTTTAATATGGTTTAGTATACTTGAAATGTATGCTTGAATGTCGTATAACATGTTTTGAAATTGTTTTGTATACTGGAGCATGTATACTTGTATGAAGTAGTTCAATTCAATTGCATGAGTAGCTTAGGATAATCCCTGAGTCACACTTTGACATAGACGTTAGGTGGCATGACCCTTTTGAATTGTTTCAAGTTAATGTAAAATTCTTTAAAGAAATCGAGTCGATGCATGCTCATTCTCTACGAGTAAACTTGTTTACTCACCCCGAAGTTACTGGGGGGCTATTTCAGGTATGAAGACTTGGTTCGTGATGTTCATCATTGCTCGGATGATTGTAGATTTGAGGGTCTTAGTTCTTATAAAGGTTGGCTTGAAATGCCACTTATAACCTTATTTGTCAAAATGTGTATATTTGATTCCATTAATGTAATATGTATATAAGTACACTCTTTACAATGTCTTTGACATGTATGGAATGAGGCCGGAGGCCAATGACATGTAATTTGTATCCTATGTAAATTTTGACTTCATGAAATATTATGAAAATATTGAAAAATATTAAGTTATTGCTTCACCATGTTTGCATCAGGTGTGGGAATTTCATTTTGATTCTTCCATAGGGTCTCATTAATCATGTATGAAGTGTGGCCAAGGGCCAAATATTATTTTGAAACCATTTCATAATTTTGAATTTTGAGTTTTCATTCAAAGTTTCATTTTTGTCATTTTAGTCGTTGGGGGGTCGGATTTTGCATTGGCTATATTTTTAAGCCATGGACCATTGTAGCACATCCAAATAGGTAAGTTATGTTTGCGGGCATAGTCGTTTCCAGGCAAAACCTTATCCTTTGTGATTTGAGCCTTCTATGGACTCATTTCGTGTTTTTATTACCTAATCTGATCTAGGGGCATTCTTTACTTGTTACTGTAGTTTTATTTTCTTCTCTAAATATAATTGAATAGAAAACGTGATTTTAGGGGGGGTTTCTTCTTCGTGTTTTTCTAGAAAATGTCGTCTTGGTACCGGAAATTGTTCACAAAGTTCAGCTTTCAGTTTTGCATTTAGCAGCTTTTTGGACATGACCAGATTTCATGGAGGGGCATTTTGGGCATCTTACAGTGAGTTTTTTTCAATTCCTTACACGCTGTCACGTAGAAAACTCAAATTTAAAGGTGGTTTCTTCTCTTTTTTTTTCTTCTCTTTTTTTTTTTTTTTTTTTTTTTTTTTTTTCCAAAAAATGTCATCTTGGCCCTCAGAAATCTATTTTTTGACGAAAAAACCCCTGCTGCCAGGTTTCTTTGTTGGCCGTTCTGTTTTTTTGCTTCGTAACCGGTTAGAAGGGGTCTCCTAAATGGTTAGATGTGCTTGGGCAGTGTTGTGGTTGTGATTTTTGGCCTCCTAACCGGTTAGGAAGGTGTGGTAACCGGTTAGATGTTCTAGGGTTGGCTCTTTTTGACCTTTTTGCCCCTTCTTCTTCTGTTAGCCATATCTTCTTCTTCCGGATTCCGAATCAAGTGATTCTTTAGTCTAAGTTCACTAATTTTTTGTTGTCTTTTCCAATGGTGTGCTTTGTGGCACCCACTTTTATATTAGAAATGACCGTTTTGCCCCTAGGTTCATTCTTGTCCGTTTTTGAAACGCCGCTTTTGCATTTATTTCTTTTGGGTTCTGTGACCTCGTTGTGGGTCACATTTGTGTCTTAGATGTGTGTTGTATCTCTAGAGACTGTTGATTCATCTTTTGCTTTTGCATTCTGGATCCAGTTCGTGTCATCACAGGACACACTGGGTTGAAAAATCCAGGGTCGTCACAAGTGGTATCAGAGCTCCTAGGTTCGAAAACCTATAGACAATGGGTTTTGGGTGTATATCATGCTTATGTTGCCATGCTCTATGTGCTTCATGATAACATGTTTTTATTTGATAACATGTTTATAGGCCTATGTGCTATATGTGACATGTCATTTGTTTAGCATGATTTAATTTTTTTGTAAAGAGCATGACATCTGATGTATGCTAGATTAGATTTGTATATGCATAACTATGTTGTATATTTGACATGACACGTGATTGGTCATTGAGGCATGAGTTGAGGTTGATGGTGATTGTAGTCACAATTTTGTAGTAGTGTAGGTTGGTGTCGACCTAGCATTGGTTTTGGGTAGGTGGTAAGTCACCTTTTGTTTAGGCTCTCGTGAGGTGAGTCATTTAACGTTGCCGTAGTGTTGGATTTGTTGGTTTTGGGCCATGATGAGGTTATGGACCTCTTAGAATCCTTGGTTGTTCGAGATTGGGATTGCAATTTTCGTAGGGGGGTACGTTTGTGGGTGGGTGCATGGCACTATCATGCTGCCATATTGGCTAGCTACAAGTGCAGTTCAGATGGAATCAATGTTGGTGTTGTTTTGATAGGCGTTGTCCTTTTAATCGATGATGATGATGGTTGTTTTGGAGATCAGTCGTAGTGATTGATTTGGTTGTTGTTGGTATGGTTATAGTTGCCATTTTCTTTGAGTCCTCCTTGCGTGATGACGCTTTTGGGATCAAGTCGATTGATTGATGTTTTGGGCAGAGAGAACATTGCACTATTAGTGTCACTTGTAGTGTCACCTCTAGATTCGGAGATGGATCGTTAAAGTCTTACTATTGTGGTAAGGGCTCATGTTTGTTTTGAGACAAGTTGTGGTCGCATCGTTTTATCTTCTGCAATTTTGTTTACTACCATGTTAGTAGTGTGAATTATGATATTGTAATGCATGAGTAGGTGGAAGTGTGTCCACATTTGCTTTCTTGTTGTGTGGCATTAGCATACCTTCCTTATATTCTTAGAGATGCCATGTTGTTACTATGTTTTTGTGACATAACTTTTGTGCTTACGTGGAGACGTGTTGCATGTACCTTTGATTTTATCTATGTGAGTAGATTTACCTTCTTGGTAGTTGCATTTCTTTGTTATTTGCATGACTTCAATGTTTGGTTTTCCCTTTTGTTTCCTTCGGTCGCACGTTGTTTGTGTGCTGGTTTCTGCAATGGTTTCGTTGTGAAATTCCTTGTAGAGGAGTTGTCACATTTGTTTTGTCTGGAGTTGTCTACTTCCTTTAAGGTGGGAAGAATGCTCCATTTTCGTGTTCGTCGTGTTGCCGCTTATGGGAAAATTAGGTTTCTCCTCTTTTTCTTGGTTCGAGTAAGGGACTTCACAAGGAGTGAGTCTCTTTTCTTCGTTGCCTTGTGCAAGGTTTTGGGGTTTGGTCGGTCCGTGAGGATCACCATTGTTGTCTTGAGTCCTTGGTGAGGATTTGGTTGATTTTGGTCGACTTACTTCCATGTAGGGGGTGAAGTCTTCAACCTTGTTGTCTTTCCTTTGGAGATATAGTCGTGGTGTTATCCTTTTAGGACTGGTGATTTCCTTTCTTTCGTGTCTTCCTTTGGGGAGTTTTTGTCGTGGTTGTTGACGGGTTGTGTTGCTCAGAGTGAGTGGATTGGTGTGAGATCATTTTACAGGGATTATGTCCATATCATTGAGGATTTGTTTGATTCATGAGGTGAGCTCGATGCTTTTTTGAGAATGTCTTTTGGAGACTTAGTTCAGTTTTGGAGATCTTGATGTGGTTGACTCTTAGGAGGAGTTTTGGAGGATCGTTGTTGAATATGGCTTGTTTATGGAATTTTCTCGTCCTAGTTTTGACAAGGCATAGTTTTGAGGAATCGTATTTCTAGTGATTGTTTATGGATCGAAATTGAGAAATTTTGATTTGGCTTAGTGATGCCAAGCACGGTTTCGAGAGATTCGTTTTGTGATATTAGTTGTCAGGATTTTGATGTGTGTGCCACTTGGTGGACTTGTATTTAGAGGATCTAGTTATTCGTGATAGGGATTTTGATCTGATGTTTGATTACGGTGAGTAGTTTTATAATTGATCTATTTCAGGATGGTATCTACGATTTTGGAGACGCTGTTTTGCTTGTCAGGCTTTGGATTTGTGATTAATGATGTTGATAGTAGTGTTTTGAGATGTTAGAGTTGTTGGTCTTGTTGTATTGAGGATTTAAGGCCCTAAGCGTAGCGGTACCTATGGCATTGTTGTCAGAGTTTTAGGATTGGCCAGAATGGTCCGACCGGACATCTTTGGACCATATCTCAACTCTCACAAAATGTTTGTCTCCGTAGTGCTTTTGGTAATGATCATTTTGGACATTGATGTTATTTGTATCGAGAGGTTTCGTGGGTAGACCTAGTGGGGGAAGGTTATGAATTGGTGCCTTATACTGTCATGCTACCGTACAGGTTGTGTGCGGAGGGTGGGTGCGAGTTACCGTCGATGCTACTTTACTGACGAGTGAGTGTGGGCGGGCACTAGGCACTGTCATTGCTACCACACATTTGAGACGTCGTGGGCGGGTTCTGGTCGCTACTCGTGCTACCACGTTGTCTTTGTTCAGTACCTTGATTTGATACGTGGATATCTTGGAGTTCTTTTAGTGGTTGTTTTCGGATCCGTATTATGGTTCGTCAGGAAGGATGCTTACAGTTGTGGCCTTCTGTTCCTTTGTTTGACTTTGGGTTCTATGTGAGTTTTGACTTGTGGTGTGGCCGTATGGTCACTTTTCTTTTGAGAGGTTGTCTGTCATGAACACGTGGGTGCGAATAACATTGGTTTGTACATTGTCTTTCAGTTTTGGGATTACTTTCGTAGCATGTTGTGTGTGATACTCGGAGATGTACTATGTACTTATCCTGGTTTCGCCTTTTGCTTTGTTAGGGCTGGATTTCGGGGACGAAATCCATTTAAGGTAGGAAAGTTGTAATGACCTGGTCATTTTTATTCCTTTTCTTTTCTAAGATTTTTTCGAATATTTTTTTTCGTTGTCTTTTCTTTTCTGCGTTTGGTTTTTTCATCACTTGATGTCGTCTCGAGTGCTCTGGAATGATTTCCAAGACTCTTTTCCTTGGATTGATAACTTCCTTTGAGGATCGTGTCATTTTCACATTTTTATTTTTTTCGAACACTATTCACTCTTCGTCTTTTTCTCGTTTATCATTTTTCCTTGCACAACCTCACTTTTTGTGTTCAAATTTGATTTCGGTTTTGCATGCATCCGTAATATTTAAATTCCATACCATGTGTATTTTTACTTTCTTAGAAAAACATTTTAAGTGTTTACTTTTCTTGTAAAGGGTATGGATGCATACTTTATTATAATTATTCTTAACTTGTGGGGTTTTAGTGTAATTAAATAAAGTAATTATTTTTCGTCTTAGGGACCATTTTGCAGTTTAATTTGAAAAAATTTTTGGAAAAGGATCTCTTTGCAATTTTTGGAAAATGTGACAAGTGTCACATTCTCATGGTGTCACTTGTTGGCATTGTGGTCGACTGACTTGGATGCATCATCTTATGACATTTGGAGGGTGAAGATTCACCTACTTGTTGGCTTAGGATTGGTGCACTTGTTGGCTTAGATGGTTGACAAGTGTAGGCTTGAGATTAAGCCTAGGAAGGAACCTTGGATTTATGACAAGTGTAGGTTCACAATTAAGTCTTGCAATTATTTTTGGGCCACTTTGGGATTATG